GGACGTTGCCGATGCATCGCCGATACATCGGCGATGCATTGGCGTTGCGGCGCGATCTTTGGACCCCATCTAGGAGGCTTCCAGGGGAAGCTTTCCGAGAGTTCTCCGAAGACACAGGCGATCCCCTACACGAAGCTTCTCGAGCCTGAGACTTCCTTGCGCGTCTGCCACCTCTGGGGGTCGTCTTCGAGCCCCCCGAGGAGCGTCAGAAGAAACACCGCTCGGGACGAGAGGCGGGTGCTCCGGGGGACGAGGAGGAGGAGGAGGAGGAGGAGGAGGAGGGAGGAGGAGGGGAGGAGGAGGAGGAGGAGGAGGTGGAGGAGGAGGAGGAGGAGGAGGGGAGGAGGAGGAGGGGAGGAGGGGGAGGGGGAGGAGGAGGAGGAGGAGGAGGAGGAGGAGGAGGAGGAGGGAGAGGAGGAGGAGAGGAGAGGAGAGGGTCGGGAGGCGGGCGGGCTGCTGCGCGGGAAGGGCGGCGGCCACGGGCAGACGTGGGCCTGGCATCGCTCGGGCGTGAGCCTTTCTTCGTTGTCGTTGCTGCCGTTCTTGCTGTTGCTGCTTTGGACACGTCTGCGCGGACAAGCTTCGACGTGACCACCTGTACAAGAAAGGTGCACCAGCGATCCACTATTAGGACGTTGGTGCGGTAGCGGAGGAGACGAGCACCGCAGTGGCTCGCCCCAAAAGGACGGCAATCCGCTGCCGCCAATCGCGGAGCGGCGACCGTGCACAACCCGTGCCACGGAGATGGCACGGGTTGCTGTTGTTGCTGCTGCTGTTGTTGGTGTTCTCGGCGAGGGCGCCCTCGAGGGCGCGAAGTTCTTCGCGCTTCGCGCTGCGCGGTTCGGCTCCGATTCCTCCTCATCCTCCTCTTCTCCCCCGGGAGGCGGCGCGAGAGCGCGAAGTTCTTCGCACTTCGCGCTGCGCGCAGCGCGAAGCGCGAAGTTGGGAGCCCTTGGTACTGCCGTTCAGATCCACCGCAGCAGTGACGGGGTCTCGGGCTCTCCCCCCAAGAAACAGGAGGCGCAGTGGCGATGGATGGCTCTGCCTCCTACAGGCGCGGTGTTTGTCTACATCCAGTGCGCCTCGGCCTCGTGGCGCCCCTTCCAAGCCCAAGACGCACTGGATATGGATATTACTCCAAAGAAAACCCCAATCAGTGCATGGTTTGAAATGGGATCGATAAAGAGATCGATAAGGAGATCGACCAGGAACCCCAGAACCCGGGAACCCAGAACCCACCGAAATCGGCCCGGAACCAATGACCAAGAACCCCGGAAACCGGGATTGGGAACCCGGGAACCAGCCGGCTACCAAAATCGGCGGGCAATTTTCCGCCGAATCTTTCAATATCCGCTAGGACCCTATCAGGGCAAGCACTGATTGTGGAATCTTGCCCGCACTGGGTCATCGCGCAGAGCAGAAAAACTCGGGTTGACCCAAAAGGGGGTCCAGCGACAAGGGGGCGGTGCAATAGGTTTGGTGCAATAGATATGTTGGGTTGCCATACATTTCGGACGTGCAATACATTCTGGGGCGCAAAGGTGTTGTTGGATTTTCGCTTGCAATACACTACTTGCAAGACCAAGCAATACAATTATCTGGCGCAAGGCATTTGCAATACAATTGCCCCAAATCTATTGCACCACCCCCTTTCAGCTGGACCCCCTTTTGGGTCACCCCAAACAAACACGCAGGACACCGAACAATTGCCAAGGGCGGCCAGACGCCCGAGCGATGGCGAGAGGGGGGGGGGGAATCGAGGGCTGCTGCAGTCCTCGGTGCCCCCCACGTTCAGTATCGATTCACCGACCCTCATCCCCATCCCCATCGAGACCCCCACCGAATTACCACCCCAGTTGGGGACACACCCCTCGAAACCCAGAAGGAACGGCCTATATCCCCATCTAGGGGGGTGAATCGTGAATCGGCCAGTGGGGCCCAGGCCATGCCGCTGGGGATGGGGATCGGTTCAACGATACTCACGCGTTTCGTGACGCCAACATCGCAGAGCGGATTTCCATCAAAGAACTATCGGATGGGCCCGGGCTGTCCTGGAGAATTTCGCTATGGATTTCGAGGTTTCGCTCCGAATTCGAGGTGAATTTCGCGCGGATGTTCTTGGACAGGAGTGAAGAGTGTGAAACATCCACGTGAAATTCACTCCGTTTTTCGCTCGAGGATTCGGGGTTCTGCTTTGACCACGCAAGAATCCGCTGCAGCACGAATGCAAGATCGGTGCAATGACACGTTTCGTGCCCCCCCCCCTGTTGCAGGACAGTGGCCTTCGAGGGGCCCTGCACGGCCCCTCAGCTGCCACGGCGGGCTCACAGGTTCACCAGAGGCGCGCGTGTCCTCGCTCCCCGTTGACTTGGCATCGCTCGGACGTGTGCACTTCACCTCGGCGAGGGCCATCGAGGAGCATCTTGGATCACCGAGCCAAGGAAAACACACGCAGGAGACCGAAACATGCACGGGGCATGGACGTCCGAGCGATAGCAAGTGGGTGGGGATCGAGGGCTGCTGCAGCCTATGACCCCCCCCCCACGTTTAGTGCCGAGGAGCATGCCGGATCACCGGGCAAACATGTACACGCACGGCACCGATCCGCACGACGCCGATCCGTGCACGGGGCATGGACGTCTGGAGCGATAGCAGGCGGACTGCCCGCCCCCGCCAGCGAAGACCCGAGAGGTCTGGGGCCCGGAGATTCGAGAGCATCGGGTCGCCAGGGATCGTCGTCGTTCCTCCTCCTCCTCCTCCTCCTCCTCCTCCTCCTCCTCCTCCTCCGCCTCCCCCTCCCCCTCCTCCCTCCTCCTCCTCCTCCTCCTCCTCCTCCTCCTCCTCCTCCTCCTCCTCCCTCCTCCTCCTCTCTCTCTCTCTCTCTCGGCTGAGGAAAAGGCTTCAGATCAGGCGATCGCAAACATGGATCAAGGGGGCGTGGATTAGCGACGGGTCCTGCTTCCACGGGGAATCGCGGTTCCCGCCGCCGAACGAGGCAGCACCGGCCGCATGCTGGGGGGCATCTCCCCCGATCCATGGATTTGGCGACCGCGCGCCAAATCCATGGATCGTTAATCCTTGTTTGCGCGCCCCCGCTCAGAAGGCTCGGAAGTCCCCCGGCCTTCTGAGGAGATATCTAAGTCTCCGAACAGGGTGAAGACGTGGCCTCACTCAGGTCCCCGTCTTCGCATTCGGGATGAGATAGCTCTGGGCGGCTTGGTCTGACACATCTGCAGACAAGACCCCCTGTCCCTAATGTCCTTGGCCCTCCTGGTGCCCTCGTGAAGGATTAGGGAGGCGGCGGCGGAGGAGGAGGAGGAGGGGGAGGAGGGGGGAAGAGGGGGGAAGAGGAGGAGGAGGAGGAGGAGGAGGAGGAGGAGGAGGAGGAGGAGGAGGAGGAGGAGGAGGAGGAGGAGGGAGGAGGAGGAGGAGGAGGGAGGAGGAGGAGGGGAGAGGAGGAGGGGAGGAGGAGGAGGGGGAGGAGGAGGAGGAGGAGGAGGAGGAGGAGGAGGAGGAGGAGGAGGAGGAGGAGGAGGAGGAGGAGGATAGATCTCTCGTTGTTCTTGTTGCGGAAGGGCTCCTGCAGGGCCCCCGTCGCCGCGGCTGGCTTCGCCTCTCTGAGTCCTCGCTGGGGCGCGCGCTCCTGGGAGCGAGGCCCGAGGGGCGGTCGCCGGCCGGTCGCTCCCGTCGTCATTCTCTCGTGGCTGGCCTCGCTCTCGTCGTCGATGCTTCGGCTCCACGTAATAGTCGGGTCTAGCTCGGGGGCGGAAAAGAGGGGGGTGATGACTATGGGGGGTGGATATCATGGCGGGGGCCATGATATTTCCCCGGATTTCATGGCGCCTCTTCTTATTTCATTACGTCCCTGGCCCCCCCGCTGGGCCGCGCACACGCCGCCGGTCATGATTTGCACCCCCCCCTCTTGGACACCCCCCTCTTGGCCGCTCCCGAACGTAATAGTCGGATATAGCCAGGACCCCAGGTAAGGGGACCCGGTCAGTAGTAGGGCCCTATAGAGCCCCTGAATTGGCCAGAGTCGCCAGACCAGGTCCGCCGAAGCTGGTGTTTTTTAAGGTGGCGGCAGCTCCGGTTAGTGAAATGGGGCGGGGGGGCGTCCCCAGGAACACATCACTAAACCAGGTCCCACTAAACCCAGTCCTGCCAACGTCCGAAATGAGAGTGACCTTTCGCCGGAGTGACCTTTTGGTGCGGGCCCATTGGGGCCCCCCATCACCGAATGCGATGCGACAGCGCTGGCTTGCGCGCCCCGCGGTGTCCCCAAAGGGCCCCCCTGAGGCCGGGCACCGAAGGTCACTCCTTGCCTAGGGTCACTCGCGCGTGTATCGGCGTCGAGCGAGGGGGGGCAGTGAGAAGCAGAAGGCATTCTGAGAAGGGTCGGAAGTCCTTCTCAGAAGGCTTCTGAGAACCAGAAGGCCCTCTGAAAAGTTCTCTTTGCCTTCCCCGAAGGCACCAACGAAAACTTCTCAGAGTGCGCGAGGGCTTCTGCGAAGTCCCGCCGCCTTATGAGGAGGCCTTGTCCTTCTCACTTCCCCCCCTCGCTCGCCGCCCAGTGTGGCCGATTCTCTTCCCCGTCCCCGCCGGCGGCGTCGACCTCGTCCCTGCCATCGACGGCTTTGTCCTCCTCGGTGCCGCTCGCCGCGGCTGCTGCCGTCCCGGTCGTCTCGCAGGCGTCGCTGCCCTCGCCGTCCTCGTCCTCGTCCTGCTTGCCTGACGTCGGGCACGCCCCTTACAGGAGGAATGTTTCAGAAAGAGTCCAGAAACAGTTGGGGGACGATGTCCCGATCATTCTTGAGCACTTTTGAATATTTTGTGAGTTGTCTTGCTTTCTGTTTTGTCTTTGTTTGGAAGAAAAAGCAGAAACAAAAAAACGAACACTGTTCGCCCAACATCCGCCTGTAGGGGACATGCCCGACCTAGTCCTTGCCGTGCTCCTCGTCGTTGGTGTCCCCGCCGTCCTCGTGCTCGTCGCCGTCGGGCAGGACGCGCTCGAGGGGGAGATCCCCGGCTTCTCCCCCGTGGTCGACTCGGCAAAGCAGGAGGCGAGACCGCGTGAGGGCCTCGCCACTTCAGCACCAGGGAGGAGGCGGAGGAGGAGGAGGAGGAGGAGGAGGGGGAGGAGAAGGAGGAGGAGGAGGAGGAGGAGGAACGATGTCCGAGGATTCAGGCTTTGTGCACTGTCGTGGCTTCTTGTTTTTGCCTGAACTCTGCGCGTGGCAGAGCGAGGGCGGGCGAGCCGCCCGCGAACCAGCCGCGAGCCGTGCGCGGCGAGAACCACCCACGACCCTCCAGCCACAGCCCACCCGCCTTGGCTCACCTGCGCTCACCCGCGACCCACTCACCACCCACGCCGCGACCGCCCCACGATCCGCTCGCGCCGCGACCCACCCGCGACCCACGTGCACCGGTTACCCGCCGCGATTCCCACCCGCACTGTGACCCACCTGCGGCCCACGTGTGGCCCGGCCCACCCGCGATGATCCGCGACCCGCCCACGAGCAAAGTCGGCGCCTGTGCTGCTTGGTCACGGCCTGCGCGAGCTCCAGCGGGCGCCGTGCGACCCCGCCGACGACACACCGATGCGGCACGCCCACGGCGCTCCCGCCAAGCCTCGTGCCTCTGGCGATCCTCTGTGCAGTGGCGCTCGAGCACCACAGGCAGGGCAGTCCGCACTGACCTATCTTAATCTTGCTCGCAACTGCAAGGTGTAGGCTCAATGCGAGTGTACCCTCCATCTAGAAGGGTATGCACGCGTGGGGCGCTCCGAAAAGGGCCTCGCCTTCGAGGATCGAAGGAGTTGGCATCTCTTCCTCGGCGGAAGGCGGCGGGAGTGAAAATTTGGCGGCTCCACAGGCGGAAGCAGGCGGAAACAAAAGTCGACCTCCCGAGGGATGCTAACATTTTTGGGTTCAGGGTTTCCCAGATCGGCCGTAGGAGTGTACCCTCTTTAAGCGTACATGTAGATACGCGTACATCAGAGTGAGGGGGCCCAACGGTCTTACACCGTCCCAGGGTGCGTGGCTGACGTGGGAGTCCGCGGCGCGGGCTCTGCTCGTTTGCTGCTGCTGCTGCTGTCGTCTTCTCGCCCGCGACGCACCCCGCGACCCAACCCCCGTGACCCACCCGCGACTCATCCGCGACCAAGTCCCGCGACCCACCCCGCGACCCGCCCTCGACCCACCCGCGACCCACCCACATTGCGTTGACCAAGATCGGCGCCCGCCGCGGACGCCTCTGCGTTGCGTAAAAATTCGGAGCCTGCGCCAGGCTTCATCGAATCTGCCGTTGGGCCTCGTAGACTGCTGACGATCCTCCCCCCGCCCCTTCTCTCTCTAGGCAACTGCGGGGCTATGATACTCGTATCGGCCTCAGCGTCACCCTAACATACTAATACTAAGTGTGCTTCGCCCCACCAGGGGCGACGCGCGCACCGAGAAATCGTATAATCTATGCGTCTTGGCGGGCGCTTTCTGGCCACACCGCTTGGGAAAGGATCTACTGCAACATGGGTATTCTATATGTTCCGGTCAGATGCGCTCCTCCAATAAGGTCATACAGTGTTAGTCGGATGTGAGGGGGTGAGATCGAAGTGGAACGGAGAACCCCCCTACCGGGAAATCGATTTCGGTTTCGTGTTCGTGCGTGCCGTGCGGGCGGGCGAGGCGAAGCTGCGTGGGCGGGCGAGAAAAAGTCTCCTGTGGCTGAGGCGCGGCCGGACCAAATGATTCCCTTCCGGGCGGCCGATGGCCCGCGGTGTCCCGCCGGTGTCCCGCGAAAGTCCCGTGTGGCTGAGGCGCGGCCGGACCAAATGATTCCCTTCCGGGCGGCCGGTGGCCCGCGGTGTCCCGCCGGTGTCCCGCGGTGTCCCGCGGTGTCCCGCGGTGCCCCGCGGTGTCCCGCCGGTGTCCCGCGGTGTCCCGCGATGATGATGATGATGATGATGATGATGATGATGATGATGATGATGATGAGATGAGATGATGATGATGATGATGCTGATGATGATGATGATGGTGATGCTGATGATGATGATGATGATGCTGCTGATGATGATGACGATGATGATGATGACATGAGGATGATGGTGTCCCGGTGATGATGATGATGATGATGCTGCTGATGATGATGATGACGATGATGATGATGATGATGATGCTGATGGTGTCTCGATGATGAGGATGATGATGATGTTGATGATTCTGTTTGATGATGATGATGACGATGATGGTGTCCCGATGATGATGATGAGTATGATGATGTTGATGTTGATGATGCTGATTATGATTGTGTCCCGATGATGATGATGTTGATGATGATGAGATTGATGATGATTATGGCGTCCCGATGATGATGATGATTATGATGGTGATGATGATGATGTTGATGATGATGGCGTCCCGATGGTGATGATGATGTTTGTGATGATGATGATGATGATGATGATGCTGATGTTGGTAATGATGATGATGGTGCCCAGATGATGACGATGATGATGCTGATGATGATGTTGATGTTGCTGATGATGATGATGTCGATGATGAGGATGAGATGATGATGATGGTGTCCCGATGATGATGATGATGATGATGAACACGATGGTGATCATGATGGTGTCCCGATGATGATGCTGCTGCTGATGATGATGATGACGATGACTGTGTCCCGATGTTGCTGATGATGATGATGATGCTGATGATGATGATGATTGTGATGATGATGATGATGATGATGGTGGTGGTGTCCCGATGATGCTGATGACCGTAATGATGATGATGATGATGTTGGTGTTGATGATGAGGACGGTGTCCCGATTATGATGATGTTGGTGATGATGATGTTGATGTTGATGTTGTTGTTGATGATGATGACGTTGATTGTGAGAGCGGTTGTGATATCGATAGTGAGATCGATAGTGAGACCGAATGTGATATCGATTGTGAGATTGATTGTGAGATCGAGTGAGAGATCGATAGTCAGATCAATTGTGAGATAGATCGAGTGAGATCGATTGTGAGATCGATCGAGGGAGATCGATTGAGCGAGACCGATACTGAGATCGATAGTGAGATCGATAGTGAGACCGATCGAGTGAGACATTGGTTCCTCCCCCCCCCGAACCTCATTATCACCCGAAGGGTGGTCGTATAGGTATATATTTGTGCGTCCTATAGCGCATACATGCGTGTGTGTGTGTCCACCTGCAGATGCCTCGAGGGATCTTCGTGGACCTCAGGGTATCTCTGGGGGCCCAGGCCTTTCGGCGACTCGACAGCAACACTCCAGGCACCTGTTGCTGGCTTTGGGCGTCGAGAGGCCGCTCCCAGGCCTCGGGGCCATCAAACCACGGCCCAGGATGGAAATTGTTTATGCTTCGCGAGTCCCCACCAGCCCATCCAAAAGCAGCCGCTCGAAAAAGGTGCGCTGACCGTAGGGTGTTTTCTCGTACTTCTCCCTCTCTTTGGCTTCTTTCTTCCATCCTCCTCTCCTTCTCCTCGTCCTCGTTGCTCCTTCTCTTCGTCCTCCTCCTCCTCCTCCTCCTCCTCATGGCGTTGCCGTGCGATCTTGGGGCTCTCTTGGGATCTCAGGGAATCGTGGCCCTGGGGCTCTCTTGGGGCTCTCTTGAGGCTCCTTGGGGAGTCTTGAAACCCTCTCGGGGCTCTTTGTGGGAGTTTGGGAGATCTCTTGGGGCCATCTTGGAGGCCATCGGGCAAAGAAGGAGAGAGCATTTATCCGTAAGGGCTTCGCCCCCTGCCGCCGGCCCCCTCTCTCGGAGAATGGGCCATGGAAGAGCTAAGTCATGAGGCTTTGGCGCTGTCGTGCAGCAGTATCGGAACTTCATGCGAGGCCGATTCGCAATCGGCAAAACCAACTGATCACAAGAGGGGTTACCACACAGGGCGATTGGTAAGACGTGTATGGTTTACGAGCTTGGTTACCACACCTTGGGATTAAAGGGCCGAGGGAGTACTCGCAGTTTGGGTTACCACCCCTTGCGATGGATGTGCGTGAGGGGGTGGCACCGAATTTCAGAAATGTGGCAAATCCCCTGTGTTTTTGCAACCCTGACCCCGCGGATCTGCGTGAGGGGTAGGTTTCAGAAATGTGCGTGTTTTTGGACCGGCGGATCTGCGTGAGGGGTGCAGAATTTCAGAAATGTGGCAAATCCATGTGTTTTTGGACCTGACCCGCGGATCTGCGTGAGGGGTGGCAGCGAATTTCAGTGGCAAATGTCAAAATGTTGGCAAATCCCATGTGTTTTTGGACCCTGACCCCGCGGATCTGCGTGAGGGGTGGCACCGAATTTCAGAAATGTGGCAAATCCCATGTGTTTTTGGACCCTGACCCCGCGGATCTGCGTGAGGGGTGGCACCGAATTTCAGAAATGTGGCAAATCCCATGTGTTTTGGACCCTGACCCCGCGGATCTGCGTGAGGGGTGGCAGCGAATTTCAGAAATGTGGCAAATCCCTTGTGTTTTTGGACCCTGACCCCGCGGATCTGCGTGAGGGTGGCACCGAATTTCAGAAATGTGGCAAATCCCATGTGTTTTTGGACCCTGACCCCGCGGATCTGCGTGAGGGGTGGCACCGAATTTCAGAAATGTGGCAAATCCCCTGTGTTTTTGGACCCTGACCCCGCGGATCTGCGTGAGGGGTGGCACCGAATTTCAGAAATGTGGCACATCCCATGTGTTTTTGGACCCTGACCCCGCGGATCTGCGTGAGGGGTGTCGATTTCGAGCCCCCCCAGCAATTCAGACAACGCGCCCAGGAGACGCTAAAAAGTCTTGTTTGGGCCTCCCCCCCTCGCGCGGTCAATCAACTAGTTACAGTAACCAGCAAGAATAGAATTGTAACACTGGAAACTACAAACTACAACTGGCACAGGAAACTGCGAATCACGGGCCTACAGCCTGGTGGCCCCACAAGGGGGCCTGCGGATTGGTGTACCCCCGTCGGAGCCCGAAATATTGCATCTTGGAGCCCTCTTGGGCTGCTCTTGGGCGCCTGTTGGGCGCTCTTGGGGCCGTCTTGGGGCCTCTT